ATGCTCTGGTGTTTCGTGGATACTATGGCTTCAGGGATTAGTCTTTTATGTTTATTATTTATGTTGGTGTAGTAGGTTTTTGGTTCAGCTAAATTAAAAGTATGGCCTGTTGTTTCAATGTGTTGAAAAATAAGTGATCTATTGTCTTTGTTTTTTATATTTCTATTGTGTTCATTAATTCTTTCCTTGACTAACCTGCCTGTTTCTCCAACGTATATACTATTGCAATGGTTACATTTAACGGAATAGATGGCCTGTCTGTTGTATATTGGTAGGTTAGGGCTATTGTTTTTGGTGTTAGGGTTTTTAATTATAGAACCAATGTTTGGGGTATTTTCATAAAAAATTCTGATTCCGTATTTTTTAAGTTCTCGGGCTATTTTGATGTTATTGGGGGAATATGGTATGATGCATGTTGATCTGTATGTCTGGTTATTGTTGATTGTGGAAGGGTTATAAAAATGTCTTAATATAAAATTTTTTGGGTATCCTGCTATGAGAAGGTTTTGTATTATATTTTGAGTTTCTATTGTTTTGAATGTTTGATTGGAACAATGGGTATGGATCCTTTTTGTGAGAGTTTTTATGGTGTTTATCTTATGGTTTAAAGGGAAATATGAGGAGTAGTGTATGTAATTGGGTTGGAAAGTGGGCTTATAATATACTGTTGTTGAACATCTGGTCCTGCCTGGTGATTAAAACATCTAAGAAAGGTAACGTGCCATTGGCCTCTTTTTCTAGGGTGAAATCTATTTCTTTGTGAAAATCTTTTAATTTGGTCAAAATGCTATCTATTGCTTCTGTATGGCATAAGCAGAATATATCGTCTATATACCTGCCCCATATTTGAATTTCCGCCGGAAATTAAATAAACCCTTTCTGGTGAGAGGACACCTCTCCCTAAAGGACACTTTGGCTCTGTAACTAGGTGTTGTCAGAGAGGTAGTTCTACTGTACATGTGTGGGTTTACCCAGTTAATGTTTTTCTCCGCCATAATGATAGTCATATCTCCAAATGTCAAAGATTGACAAAGGGGAAGAAAAAATGAGAGAGTAGAGGTGATAGGATTTGAAATGATTGTCATTCCACACTATTGTTTGATGGAAATATCTTTTTATCATCGTGGGAGACATCTGTTCACTTCAATAAGGCCAATATGGACTTTAGGGTAGATCCTTTAATAGGTGTTTGTCTGTTTACATCTTTGTAGATTGCTTGTTGAACTACACACCTCATCTACATCCTGATGTATTAGATTTCAACATCATAGCATTTGAGATTCCGAAGTCGCAGCTCCACACATTGTTCTTTTTTTCTTGATAATTATGCAGTGGAAATTCCCTTCAATGAAGACATTGCTTCAAAGATAATGTGTCCTTTAGGAAGAGCTTACCTCTTAATACAGAGTTGCTAAATACAGTAGAACTACCCCTCTCTAAAGGACAACACCTAGTTATAGATCCAAAGTGTCCTTTAGTGAGAGGTGTCCTCTTACTGGAGAGTTGTTAAATACAGTAGAACTACCTCTCTCTAAAGGACAACACCTAGTTATAGATCCAAAGTGTCCTTTAGTGAGAGGTGTCCTCTTACTGGAGAGTTGTTAAATACAGTAGAACTACCTCTCTCTAAAGGACAACACCTAGTTATAGATCCAAAGTGTCCTTTAGTGAGAGGTGTCCTCTTACTGGAGAGTTGTTAAATACAGTAGAACTACCTCTCTCTAAAGGACAACACCTAGTTATAGATCCAAAGTGTCCTTTAGGGAGAGGTGTCCTCTTACTGGAGAGTTGTTAAATACAGTAGAACTACCTCTCTCTAAAGGACAACACCTAGTTATAGATCCAAAGTGTCCTTTAGGGAGAGGTGTCCTCTTACTGGAGAGTTGCTAAATACAGTAGTACTACCTCTCTGACAACACCTAGTTACAGAGCCAAAGTGTCCTTTAGGGAGAGGTGTCCTCTTACTGGAGAGTTGCTAAATACAGTAGTACTACCTCTCTGACAACACCTAGTTACAGAGCCAAAGTGTCCTTTAGGGAGAGGTGTCCTCTTACTGGAGAGTTGCTAAATACAGTAGTACTACCTCTCTGACAACACCTAGTTACAGAGCCAAAGTGTCCTTTAGGGAGAGGTGTCCTCTTACTGGAGAGTTGCTAAATACAGTAGAACTACCTCTCTGTAAAGGACAACACCTAGTTACAGAGCCAAAGTGTCCTTTAGGGAGAGATGTCCTCTTACTAGAGAGTTGCTAAATACAGTAGAACTACCTCTCTATAAAGGACAACACCTAGTTACAGAGCCAAAGTGTCCTTTAGGGAGAGATGCCCTCTTACTAGAGAGTTGCTAAATACAGTAGAACTACCTCTCTATAAAGGACAACACCTAGTTACAGAGCTAAAGTGTCTTTTAGGGAGAGGTGTCCTTTTACTGGAGAGTTACTAAATTGTAAAAATTGTAATTTTACAAATGAAAACTGTTATTTGTGGAGAGGTGTCAGCTAAAGGGAGATTCTACTGTGTTATATTTTTTAGATAAAAAAAGGCATATATTGGATTGAATAAAAGATTCATTTGCCAATATATATATAGAGTCTACTTCTTTTATGCCTCAAAAGGATCAGGATTTCCAGTAGAATTAGATTCAGGGAGCTGAAATATAATTAGATAAAGTAAGAATAGGGTGATTGTGGAATTTGAAAAACTTTATCAAAGTTGGTTGAATTAAAGAGAGAAGGGTTTACTGTATAATATATTCCCTACACCTACTTTAAACACAATTCAATTTGCATATGTAGATTGATTTCAATTGGCAAGAGTCTCTTAAGATAATCTTAGTAGGGCTTCTTCGAAAGTGCGATGTCATGATGAGGGATTGAATATGCAAATAGATTTTCCATTCCACACCCATATGCAATTAGGCTGAACATGTTTTGTCAGGATGTGGACCCAATTATTCACTTCCTGTCCTGGGGTGATGAGATAATCCATATGGCTTCCTCCGCTCTATATTTGTTGTCACCATCGTGTAAATTGGGGGCATAATTTGAGTTGCATATCCCTAGTAAACCTCTTACACGCTGTGGTAATGGTTGATAGTTAGGGATTGCTTTTACTGTAAGTACACCACATGTCTACATAGGTAAAAGTAATTTGACTCTTTTGCACTAACCAAGTGTTTATACACTCATGGCCAGTACTTAAGGAAGTTGTACCTTTTAGCATGTATATCGGGATTGAGACAATAACTCTGAAAGATATTACAGTGACCTTTATTGAAGATACACGAGATAACCAAATGTGTATACACTCATGGACAAAACTTAAGGAAGTTGTACCTTTTAGCATGTATATCAGGATTGAGACAATAACTCTGAAAGATATTACAGTGACCTTTATTGAAGATACACGAGATAACCAAATGTGTATACACTCATGGACAAAACTTAAGGAAGTTGTACCTTTTAGCATGTATATCAGGATTGAGACAATAACTCTGAAAGATATTACAGTGACCTTTATTGAAGACACACGAGATAACCAAGTGTGTATACACTCATGGACAAAACTTAAGGAAGTTGTACCTTTTAGCATGTATATCGGGATTGAGACAATAACTCTGAAAGATATTACAGTGACCTTTATTGAAGACACACGAGATAACCAAGTGTGTATACACTCATGGACAAAACTTAAGAAACTCAACAAACATTTCAGGGTATCAAGTCTGTAGAGCTTGTTAATGGTGTCTGTCCTAGGGATGTGTAGAGCTCATCAGAGGAGGCTTGGCATCAATAATGAGAGAGAGATTGGGTGAAGTAGAATGCATCTTCTTTTTTCATTAAGAACATGACAAATTGATAGGATTGAGTTGAGATAAGAGAGAATTGTTTATCCTGTGGGTGCCTTCAGAGAAAACATTCACTATGGATTTGGGAAAACATCTGGTGTTCATCCATAGTAAAGCTTTCAGGTGTTCATTGAGATTCATGGCTTAGCTCTTCATTTGCATATAGACCAAATCCATTGGAAGTTTACTCTGGGTAAATGTATTTGAGCTTCTCTGGAAGAGCGTAGATACGACCAAATCCATATACAGTTAAACCTGTCTATAGCGCCCCCTTTAAATAGCGCCTTCCTCTCTATAGCGCCCAATTTTAAATATGTAGTACGATGTGATTTACATTAAAAGTGACCTGTCTATAGCACCCTCTCTCTATAGCACCCTATTTTGGTGAGTCCCAAGAGGGGGCGCTATAGACAGGTTTAACTGTAGTACGATGTGATATACATTAAAAGTGACCTGTCTATAGCACCTCCTCTCAATAGCACCCTATTTTGGTGAGTCCCAAGAGGGGGCGCTATAGACAGGTTTAACTGTAGTACGATGTGATTTACATTAAAAGTGACCTGTCTATAGCACCTCCTCTCAATAGCACCCTATTTTGGTGAGTCTCAAGAGGGGGCGCTATAGACAGGTTTAACTGTAGTACGATGTGATTTACATTAAAAGTGACCTGTCTATAGCACCTCCTCTCTATAGCACCCTATTTTGGTGAGTCCCAAGAGGGGGTGCTATAGACAGGTTTAACTGTATTATAAAACCTGAATATATTTTCATACATTTATACATCTATATATTAATTAAAAGTTCTATTTTGGATCTAAAATAAAACCTGTCTATAGCGCCTCCTCTAAATAGGGCCTTCTTCTCTATAGCGCCAGATTTTAAATACGTAGTACAATGTGATTTACATTAAAAGTGACCTGTCTATAGCACCTCCTCTCAATAGCACCCTATTTCGGTGAGTCCCAAGAGGGGGCGCTATAGACAGGTTTAACTGTATTTAGATGCCATGTTTTTTTCCTTATAATAAATTAAAGCTTAAGTCTCTAGAAATCAAGGACTGTTGTTCCCATGGGTGGACAGAATTGATGCTTGTCTCGCTTCTGCTCTGTACCAGTAAATAATAAGGCTTATTGAACACAAGGTAATAAGATTGAGGTAGCTTGGCCGAGCAGTCTTAAGACGCAGGTCTAAGGCACCAATCTCCTCGGAGACGTGGGTTCAAATCCCACCACTGCCACTTTTTTTTTTTCTTATTACCTTGTATTTATAATCTATAATTCGAATTGTGTATTATCAAGGCCTTTTTAAAATTTGAATCTATTATAGACGCATATGATTCTTTTGAAAAATAAACAATTTCTACTGTCCTTACTGCAATCATATCGGGCTATCAAGTCTGTAGAGCTTTCCCTGAATAAAAATTGCTTCAATGTCCCCCTATTTTGGCAAAAGTCGTGCAAAAGTTGATAACAGATGGCCCGCTAATGCATCATAATTATGATTATAATAATTAATCATAATTATTTAAATTATCTATTTTTTCCACTTGTTGCATCTCATGTTTAGAAGCTGGACTCAGTGAGATATGAATAAATAAAGAAAGAAGTCTGTGGCTTTAGACCAAGGAGATAAAAGTCTTCTTCTTTTTTCTTATCTCCACTCAATCATATTAAGGTATCAAGTTTGTAAAGCTTGAGATCATGTCTGGGTGAAGTAGAATGTGTCTGCCTTTGTCATTAAGACTGGGAGCACTACTCAGTAGCAGGCCACTGACTTAGCTCCAATATGTAATGGTGACATGAGGAACAGACACCATGTACAGCCAACATGGAGTACATTTGTATCCACTTTGTCATTAAGACTGGGAGCACTACTCAGTAGCAGGCCACTGACTTAGCTCCAATGTGTAATGGTGACATGAGGAACAGACACCATGTACAGCCAACATGGAGTACATCCTGTATCCCTATTGTCATTAAGACTGGGAACACTACTCAGTAGCAGGCCACTGACTTAGCTCCAATATGAAATGGTGACATGAACAGACACCATGTACAGCCAACATGGGGTACATCCTGTATCCTTGGAGCCCTTACAGGGTACTATCAGCATGGCCAGCTGAGCCTAGGTTGTTTAGTGAGCTTGTTACTGCTCCCCCTTCCGCCTGTTTCACCCAGGCTTTGGACCAGCAAAGGCGGAGTTAGGAGATAAAAGTGTTGATGGGCTGTTATCTGTTTAGTCTACACAATCTTTGACTTCTGCGGCTAACCAGGCTATTGGCATACTTTACAGTTTCCACATCTGCTACACATCCCTGAATATGCCACTCTTTTATAATACAATATAATGCAACTTATGATATTGTAGAACGAAATTTGACAATTATACCGCCAATGTTTCTTTTGAACAAAAAATCAAAATTTATTTTAAGGAGAAATAAAGATTATTTATAACCTTAGGGATGTAGTATGAAAGGATGAATTGTGAAGAGTAATGATAAACGGAAAAATAAAAGTGTCCAGGGAAGGGAATTCCCGTTCATCATTACTCTTCACAATTCATCCTTTCATACTTCATCCCTAAGGATAGAAATAATCTTTATTTCTCTTTAAAATAAAATATGATTTTTCGTTCAAAAGAAACATTGGCGGTAAAATTTGCGCAGAGCGCCATCTAATGAACCTGAAATCAACTAAACATTGATTTAACCTGTTCCCTGATATTTGGCCAATCTATTTTCTTGATAGATAGCGTTTGCTAAGACCCGAGATCAAATCCTTCATTGGGCAATCTTTTTATATTTAAAAAAAAAAATGCTCAAATGGCTCCCGATTCTTGCAAAAGTTGAACTCAACCAGCGAGTATAAGTAACCAAACAGATTCTGGTACATTTGTAAGTGCAAAAGTCGAACTGCTTTTCACATGTGTAGACATGTGGTGTACTTACAGTAAAAGCAGTCATCTACTTCTACCCACCACGATTATCATGGTTGTAACAGGTGTACTAGGGATAAGCAAAAAAAAAAGAATCATACGCGTCTATAATAGTTTTGAATTTTCATAACAGATGGCGTGCTAATGTATCTTATTATATATATGTTGTAATAATTAAAAAAAAATAAAGTGGAGCCGACAACTTCACAGTGGGCTCCTCATCCAATATGCAGTCACGGGGCCGGAAGTGAAGAGGCACTAGCCTGAAGACCACACACATAGGAACATGGTTACCTCGGTTTAGAGGTGGTTCCTGAGAAGGGTGAGATCGCTCTGGACTACATGACTACTTTCTTGGTGTGTCTGTTTGGATAACTCCTCATCTGGGTCTCCTTGTTTGGACCTCCCTGTCTGGGCTCAGCCCCAGCTTATATCCTAATTGTGACATCAGTGGCGGAGGACATCCAATCAGGGACTGCCATTACTATAAATCTCTCTTATTTATACTATCCTTCCCGACTCACCGTCCCTTTCTCTCCCATGTATCCCTTTTATCGACGCCATTTTGTAGTTACATATAATCTTGATTTTATATACAACTTTCAGCATATACAATACGACATATATATATGTGTTATACCCCTGCTTTCTTCCTTCCTATCTAACCTTGCTCCACTCTAGCAACTCCTCTAATAGAGATCTGTTTGCTTGTTTTTTTCCAGAGGTGCTTTTTCTATAGTGAGGAGATGTGTACAAACTGCTACCGGCTTAGAATTTGCCGCTAAAATTATTAACACAAAAAAATTGTCGGCAAGAGGTAAGCAAAACTCTTTTATTTCTCTCTTCCTGTCCTGCTCACCTTTTCTCTACCCTTTGTGTGTTTTGTGTAGCTTCTTTTTTATATATATATATACAGTAGAACCTCCATTTATAAAGGACAACACCTAGTTACAGAACCAAAGTGTCCTTTAGAAAGAAGTGTTCTCTTACTGGAGAGTTACTAAATACAGTAGAACTACCTCTCTGTAAAGGACAACACCTAGTTACAAAGCCAAAGTGTCCTTTAAGGAGAGGTGTACTCTTACTGGAGAGTTACTAAATACAGTAGAACTACCTCTCTGTAAAGGACAACACCTAGTTACAGAACCAAAGTGTCCTTTAGGGAGAGATGTCCTCTTATTGGAGAGTTACTAAATACAGTAGAACTACCTCTCTGTAAAGGAAAACACCTAGTTACAAAGCCAAAGTGTCCTTTAGGGAGAGATGTCCTCTTATTGGAGAGTTACTAAATACAGTAGAACTACCTCTCTGTAAAGGACAACACCTAGTTACAGAGCCAAAGTGTCCTTTAGGGAGAAGTGTCCTCTTACAGGAGAGTTGCTAAATACAGTAGAACTACCTCTCTGTAAAGGCACCTAATTGCAGACCCAAAGTATCCTTTAGAAAGAACTGTCCTCTTACAGGAGAGATGCTAAATACGGTAGAACTACCTCTCTGTAAAGGATAACACCTAGTTACAGAGTCAAAGGGAGAGTTGTCCTCTTACTGGAGAGTTGCTAAATACAGTAGAACTACCTCTCTGTAAAGGACAACACCTAGTTATAGAGCCAAAGTGTCCTTTAGGGAGAGTTGTCCTCTTACTGGAGAGTTGCTAAATACAGTAGAACTACCTCTCTGTAAAGGACAACACCTAGTTATAGAGCCAAAGTGTCCTTTAGGGAGAGATGTCTTCTTACTGGAGAGTTGCTAAATACAGTAGAATTACCTCTCTGTAAAGGACAACACCTAGTTATAGAGCCAAAGTGTCTTTTAGAGAGAGATGTCCTCGCCTGGAGGTTCTACTGTATTTATTTCTTTGCACTATCCTCCTATGTATGTGTGTTGTGTTGCTAAAGGCCTGATAACAACGATGAAACAGTAAATGTTCTCAATTCAATATAAATTTCTCCCTTTATGTATTAGGAGTATAAATAAGTTTGTGCATTTTTTTTTTTTTCGAAACTTGAAGCTTTATTGTGAAAAATTGGTTAGACCTTCAATGTTTAAAGTATTGTCCGTCGCTAGCCACTCCTTTTTCCCATCTTTCTGGTAATTGAGGGATGCCATCGTGGAAAAAGGCCGGCTCTTTGGCCGCTATCTATTCATTGATTCATTGATTGACTTCATCGTAGTTGGAGAAGTGCTGGTCAGCCAGGCCATGTTGTATTGATCCGAAGAGATAATAATCAGAAGGAGCAATGTCTGGGCTATATGGCGGGTGGGGTAGGACTTCCCATTTAAGCGTTTCTAAGTACGTTTTAATGGGTGCTGCAGCATGTGACCGAGCATTATCATGTTGCAAAATAACTTTGTCGTGTTTATTGACATATTGCAGCCGTTTTTCTCGCAATGCAGGTTCAAACGCATCAATTGTCTTCAGTAGATCTCCCCTGTGATACTTTTGTTTGGTTGTAGCAGCTCATAATATACCACTCCTAGCTGGTCCCACCAAATACACAGCATAATCTTCTAGCCGTGAATATTTGGCTTGGGTGTCGATGATGAGGAAAGGCCAGGGTATCCATACATTGCCCGACGTTTTGGATAATCGTAATGAACCCACTTTTCATCACCAGTTACAATTCGATGCAAAAACCCCTTTCTTTTTAACGTTGGAGCAGTTATTCACACGTGAAAAAAACGGCATTCGAAGTCTCTTGGCTTCAGTTCATATGGCACCCAATTTCCTACCTTTCAGATCATTCCCATTTCTTTTAAGCTATGTAAAATGGCTGGTTGAGTGACTCCAAATGTTTTTGCGATTTCCTTTTGCATTTGTGTTGGATCTTCATCGAGCCTTGCCTCTAATTATTTACCCTCAAACTTTGGTAGCGCTACGGCTCTTTCTTCGTCTTCCAAATCAAAATTACCATTTTTAAACCATATAAACCGCTTCTGACAGGTTCGTTCAGCTAGAGCATGGTCATCATAAACTACGATGACTCTCAGCAGCTTTTTTCTTCATATTGAAGTAATGAAGTAAAACTCATGTAGACATGTGGTGTACTTACAGTAAAAAGCAGTCGCCAACTTCTACCCACAATGATTATCATGGCCTGTACCATATGTAGACATGTGGTGTACTTACAGTAAAAGCAGTCGCTAACTACCCACCATGATTATCATGGCCTGTACCATATGTAGACTGTGGTGTACTTACAGTAAAAGCTGTCACTAACTACCCACCATGATTATAATGGCCTGTACCAAGTGTACTAAGGATAATAAAAAGAGAAACCTTGGAGGGAAATGAATGTATTGCCA